ACATGCATATATGCATGTATACATATATATATATATAACCCACCCCAAATTCCCACGCACCCCAAACGCAGCGGAGACATTCCCACGCACCCCAAACGCAGGTAGCGCCCTGCTCAAGACCACCCAGGTAGTAGAGCTCTCAATCCACCAAGAGGTGACCTAACGAAGGCCAGAGAGCCCATCTTGGTCACTCGAAGCTCGCCCTTCTGCACCCGGATGCTGGATCTCCTCCTCATCCATCTCATGTCCAAAACCAAGGCCTGGCATTCCATCTCGGATATCCAGGGTCCCATAGCATTCTTTGCCACCAGATGCAACCTTCAAGGACGCATCCGTTCCGGCATCAAAAGAGGATTGGTCGGCAGCCACGAGGGCGCCAACAGTTTGGCTGTCATTCCCACTATCCAAGTGGGCCAAAACTTGCCATCGACTAGGCTTGGGGACATACCGAAAAAGCCCCTCATATTGTGTGGCTGGGCTAATAATGCCCTGTTCCCAGCCAACCAGAACGGGGCCCGCAGCTAGTCGACCGCCTGCTCCGTCTGTTCCGTCTCCGCTTTGTCCTTCGGCCCGAGCTCTCCGATGGGCTGGTCCTCCTCCGAGTCCGTCTCGCCATCGATCTCCAGCACCGGCATGCCAGACTTCTCGCGGATCTTCTCTAGCTTCTGCGCGAGGGGTGTCCTTTGGGCAGGCAAAGGAGTAGGCTGTCGTCCGAGGGCCTTGATCGGCATCCTCTGCTGGCCAATCTTGGTCTTTTTCTTCCCGGCCGATGCCAAAAGGTTGTAGAGCCCACTGACCGATGGCGAGGTGAGGTAGGGGTCGCTCGCCGCATCTGTAGCATCTTGGTAGACCTTTTCCTCGCCCTTGGCCTCCGTTGTATCCATAGGCGTCGGGTCCCTTCGCGATGTAGCGGGCGGTGTCATAGCCGTCGTCCGGGTAGTGCGCCTCGGTGGGGTCATTTCCGTTGGCGCGACCCGGTTTTTCAAGGCAGCAATAAGCTGCTCTGCCTCCTTGGGCCGAATGCTGGCCTTTCCGCTGAGGGCCTCCTCCACCAAGTCCGACAAAACCGGCTCTGCTCGGAGGGGCGTGTCCACTAGGTTCTCCCATTCCGCCAGGATCTCCGCCGGGACTTCGTCCTCCTTTTTCTCGCTTTGCTTGCCCGCTACCAGCATGGCCTGCTGCAAATCGCCAAGCACCTCCTCGAGGGACTCCTGTAGATCTTGTCTCTCCTCGTTGAGCTTGTCCATCATCGTTTTGTACTTGGCCTTCTCCTTGGCGTAGCTCTTCGTCATCTCCTTCTGCCAGGCCATCCACTTGTCGTGCGTGTCTTGCAAGTCCTGGTCCGTCTTCCGCAACTTTGTCTCCACTTTCCGCAAGTGGTTGACCTGATTTTGGACCGATCTCACAACATGACCGGCAGCAGACATACTGCCAGCAGAGCTGGTCGCAGCCTCGCTCTTTTCCCTGGTCTCCACCGCGGCGGGCTCCACCTGCATGGCGTCGAAGGAGGGGAACTGGGCCTTGTCCTTCTGCTAGTGCTGCGTCCTGATATGCGAGGGCCATCTGGTATCGCGAGCCGACTGCTGCCAACCAGCATACTGCTCCGATCTACGCGGCTTTCCCTCCCATCCCTGCCATGTCTGGCCTTGGCGCCGTCCCGTAGATTCCCTATATCGGGGCCTGGAATGATGGCTCTCCAAGAGCCCAAGATCCTGCCACCGAGGTAGCTTCCCTCTGGCTCGAGATCGCCAGACGCGGTACCGCGCGTTTGAGCGGCGCTGCCTCCGTCTCCTGTGCCACGGCGGCGAATGGCACAACAGCGTGCCTACCCTGTTTGGCACGTGGGGTCGCCAGCTATCCAGTGAATCACTGGTTGATCCGAGACCCTATTGATATATATACACACACATTTGTTTTGGTCTATCTATCTATCTATCTATCTGTCTATCTATCTATCTATCTATCTATCTATCTATCCGTCTGTCTATCTATCTTCCTACCCTCCCGCTCCCTCCCTCCCTCCCTCCCTCCCTCCCTCCCTCCCTGCCTACCTGCCTGCCTGCCTGCCTACCTACCTATCTATCTGTCTATGTATCTGTCTATCTATCTGTGTATTTATTTATCTATCTATCGATCCATCTGTCTATCCATCTGTCTATCTATCGATCTTACCTACCTACCTACCTACCTACCTGCCTGCCTGCCTGCCTGCCTGCCTGCCTGCCTGCCTGCCTGCCTACCCACCTACCTACCTACCTGCCTACCTACCTACCTGCCTGCCTGCCCACCTACCTACCTACCTACCTACCTACCTACCTACCTACCTACCTACCTACTTACCCGCCTATCC